GTGTTCTTTTCAATTCTTTCCCAGACAAAAGCTTTGCTCATTTTAATCAACCACCTTTACAGGCAAAGATCACACTACGGATATTTTACTGTTACAACAATGATCTAAGATGCTGGGAGCATAAAAAACCTAAAGACAGTTGGAGAACTTTGGTTTACTAATTTAAGGAAGAAATGCGCTACAATGCCCACAGTTTAATGGAGAGGGTGTTACGGGCAAATACAAATATTACAAGTTTTAGAATGAAATGTTGTATTTCTTAAACTGTGTACTTTGTCTTTAAGAGATATTGCAAACTGACAAGGTGTTAGAAATGGAACATATTGTTTTTCATAGATGTTTCTTTAAGCAATAACCTCAGTGCATAATATGTTTGCGCCATTTTGTCCCAGACGAATTACAATAACAATAATGCATAAACAAGCTTCAAGGCTATTCTACGACACTTGCAGTACACAATATACTGTGGTAACCCCAAGTTAATGGAACTTCCCCAAATCCTGGAATCTCCCGCGACTGTACACTTACGACTTAGTATAAACAACAGATAACCTATTCAGACTTTAAGATGCCATCTTGAACTAAGTCAGGAAAATTTCCATGACGTATACACCCTTTAGTTATGGCCTTGTATGTTTGCCAAATTAAGGGAGGTCCTAAATTGAATAAAGTAAAAGAACTACAATAACCCCAAAATGGAGACACCTAAGGTATAAATAGGTGTACTTTTAAATGTTAAGACACAGAGGAGAGACTTGGAGACAGACGCTGCTCCATCTTAAAATGACAGAGAGGCTGACATGATGACATGTTCAGAAGGGTATGTTAATCTATTAATGATATTTGCAAGCATGTAATTTAATTTTATAAACTCTGCTATAATGGATTTTATATTTTTATATAATAAATATCCAAAAAGACAATCTTGCTTCCAAGACAATCCTTATTTTATATTGTATTCTCAATTATTTATATATGTTAAATAGAGGATCTCTTACACTATATAAAATTATGGCTAAGATATCTGTATGGTTAGCCCTACTAAGTTCTATGCTTTAAGACATTATAGTGGTAAATAAGGGAACCACACACGGTTACACACCCACATAAGGCTCTATCCCCTAAAGAACCCAAAATACATAACAGTGTGAATAGAGTAAGGAGCACAACCATAAATCTTTATATATATGAAAAAATCTTTATTAAATGGGTATATACTATAGGACTGTCTCTTTAAATATTATCCACAGAGGTACAAAGTCATGCTATTCAAAAGCATTTACCAGAAAAGCAATGATATAGGCAAATATAAACGCTCAATGCGTAATAAATGAATGAAAGAAATATCATGCAAACAGTCCACTATAATACTAGTATAATGAAAACCCAAGACAAAGGCTTTTCAGCCGAAACGTTGTTTTTTTTTTTTTGATTGATTCTGTCCCTACTTCTCACTGAATTTGGTATGGTTTGCTGCATTTTTTTATATGTCTGGGTTTTCATTATGCTAGTATTATAGTGGACTGTTTGCATGATATTTCTTTCATTCATTTATTACGCATTGAGCGTTTATATTTGCCTATATCATTGCTTTTCTGGTAAATGCTTTTGAATAGCAGGACTTTGTACCTCTGTGGATAATATTTAAAGAGACAGTCCTATAGTATATACCCATTTAATAAAGATTTTTTTCATATATATATATATATATATATATAAAGATTTATGGTTGTGCTCCTTACTCTATTCACAACATTCACAGCTAAAATGTCAGACGGAAATACAAGTTTAAAAAAAAAAAAATCTTATTTTCTCACTTTTTTTTAATTTTATTAATAATAAATTATGTTCCATATATGAATAGTTAATGATAAATTAAAGCCCTGTTTCTCCTGAACAAAATGATATATACTAAGTGTGGGTGCACTTAATGTGACAGCGGTGAATTACGGTTGAACAGACATATAGCGCAAATTCCAGTTTTTGTTTACGTTTTGTTTTGATCAGAACGTGCACTATTGACTCCGTCCTGAAGGGGTTAATTACCTCATTCATACAGTACAAGCTCAGAGACTTTCCAGAAGTAATGATGATAAATATTCTTAATCTGTGGATAGAATGCACTCAATAGTTTGATCCTTAATCACATTGTCTGCTGCTGTTCAAGGGATTCATCTGTTATTGATTCTATTGATTCATCTGTTTGTTTGGAAGAGGGCTACAACCGGAAGACAAGGACAACAGACCAGTGATCTTTGGTCTTCTGCGGTGCTGCTGCTACTGTGCAATAAAGCTTATCCAGTTCTGTTTTGTTTGTGTATTTAATTCACTGTCAAAAATGAACTCCTGGAACCATAACCACTACACACCACCAATGTTAGTAGTATTAAAACTGTTTGCTAACTGACAACTTACCAAAGGCTTGAAAAACCTCACTTCCCCTATATGTGTACTGCTACATAGAAGTACCTTTCTAGACTTATGGTAAGTAGGCAGAAGACTCCTGCATAGAGCTTCCATTAGCTCTCCAGAGATAAGCCCCAATGTGGAAGCCCAGCTCAATGGCTGAGAGCATTAGATGATAACTATCAGCCAAAGAATTAGGTCCTGCCCTACCAGGCTCCGCTCAATAAAGACAGAGCTTCCAGCTTTTGTAAAGGAGTTGCCCAGTGCCCAGTTGATCCCAGGTAAATTAGAGAAATAATCCAAGCAATATACCCACTATAGCATGCTGTAGGGTGTGCAGTGTCTGACAGTATCACTTAATGAGTTCCCTCTCTCAATTACAAAGCTTAGCTCAATGCTACAGCTTCCAAGCTCTCAGAACTAATACAGGTGTTTCAGAGCTTATCTCATTGGCTGAAAGTGATGATCATGACTTAAGCTGGAGCATCTGGCTGAGGTAGTAGAGGTGCGGATTGAGGTCCTGATGCACCACATTTAAGAAAAAGGTCAAACATTTTGAAATCATTGGTGGTTTCACCCTCTCTTACAATGAGCAGGCAGCAGGGTAATTCTGGCACCATAAACATTACAGCTAGCTGTAGCAGTTATGGTGCTGCTGATCTGCATAACCTGTAGAAAAAGCACGCCTATCTACCTAGTATTTTCTAAACACTACTTCTATTGTTTAAATACAAGTTATCATGAATTTTATTGCTCTAAAGCTCTCCAATAAACTTGTGAACTCAATAAATTTGGAGACTAGAACATATACTCCATGTAGACTAGAACATTATGAAAGAAAGGATATAATTGGGACATTTGAAAGTATCTGTTTAGTAAATCCCATACAACAATCTGTTTATCTCTTAATGAAAGCTTATGACAATGAAATTATCAAATTCAATACAATTATTTGCTTTTTATTTATTTTTACTTTTATAAGGGAACTTTTTATTAAAAAAATAAAATAAAAGTTGAATGTCTTTTATCCTGCCAGCACTGTGTATAAATCATTTGTTCAGCTCCATAAACCTGTTCGAAGATAATTGTGCACAGCTGGATATTTTATATTCCAGTCTATTTTATAATCCCTAACCTTGTAGAAAAAAAGATTCATCGCATCTACAGTGATGCCTGCTTATTTAGAATCCACACAGTCATTGGATTGGAAATCATTCGGATTATTACTACATATATATTTTACTGACAGATACGGTATTTGAGCTGTGAAATATTGCACTAAATGGTATAACAAGTAATCAAATGTCACTGTGCTTTATCAAATAGGTTCCTTAAATCCTCTGAGAGCGAATTTGGCCATCAGCAGGAATTAGCCAAGTCCACGTTTATAATTTGTTTTACCATCTTTAATTCATACAATTTGGTTTAATTTGTCCAACTACGGATCACATGTTATATTATTTCCAACAGGGTTAATTACATTTAATTGCTGTATTACTATTAGTTATTGGTTTTTAACCTCATTTATTAAAAATATTCAGAGTCTGTGCTGAAATGATTAAAAAAACAAGATGATGATTAAAAAGACAGCGATTGGTTTTACCATTGATGTACCTGTATAGAATCCTGTATCATTGATCCATGTGTGAGACTGGTGAGGTGGTTGGTTAGGTTGTGCCTAGTCACTGGCAGTGTCACTCACGCCAGGTTTCCATGGCAGATTAATAGTTTGCATCATTCATCGGAATATGAGTCCGTTTGGGTTACAACTGTGCCTTGTCACTGCCAGTTCCACCTACTCCAACTTTGATTTTTCTATGACATTTTCCGAGAGTGTTCAGTCCAGTGTGATACAGGGTATAGTATCTTTTTAAAAATCACTTTTAAAAAACTTTTTGTATTTAACTTTGGATGGTGCAAGAATGCAAGGACTATGCAGCACTATGATAGCGTTTCATAAAGTCAAACACAATAAAGTTAGCAGTAAAAAATCTATTAAGCAGCAACCCATTTTTCATCCCAAACATCTATTTTGGTGTAAAGTTATGTTAGTTTACACAAAACACATATATATCCCCATTTATTTGATAATAAAAACAAACCTATCCATCAACAATGATACATCATAACCACATGAAGAAATTGAGGGAGAATAGGGGTTGTGTTCCCCAAAACCTATCAAAAGTTGTGCCATGGTCTCTCAGTGTCCTAACACCTCTTCCTCAGCCATGAGAACTGCTTAATCCTCATTGCTGCCACCATCACCACCACCACCAACAGAAGTACCACCACTATAAATAGTAGTATTTAGCCTCAGTATAATGGGTGTCCTTTATGTCTTATTCTCCACCAAGGGGAGCAAATGTCTTTGTCTCACCCTTTTAATGTTGCAATTAGTGACACAATCAGGCATATTTACTAAACACAGGATTTTGTCAGGACAAAATCAGATGAAAATGACTGAACTCCAAACGCAATGTCAGTAATTCAGCACTAGAGATGTCGCGAACCGTCCGCGAACTTCTCGCGAACGGTTCGCCGCGGTTCGCCGCTGTTCGCGGCGTACTCCGGTCAGCTGACACGTCCCGGCCAATCTCCAGCAGACCCTCCCTCCCAGACCCTCCTACTTCCTGGACAGCATCCAATGTTGAAACATGGATGCTGTCCAGGAAGTAGGAGGGTCTGGGAGGGAGGGTCTGCTGGAGATTGGCCGGGACGTGTCAGCTGACCGGAGTTCGCCACGAACAGCGGCGAGCAGTTCGCGAGCAGTTCGCGGATGGTTCGCGACATCTCTATTCAGCACATGGAAAAAATCTGCATGACTGTCTGGAGCATTTGTTATTTGGAATAAAATCAGTGTTTTTGCATCTGGGTCTTACATAACGTATAGGATTTGGAGGTTTCCTAAACCACCATTCTTTCTAAAATTTAAGACTGAATGCATTTGGCAGGAAGCAAATTTGGTAAATTATCAATTAATTAACGTTTTACAAGCCAGTTTTACTTTTGTACTATTTGCCCACTTCTGTACTCTAGTACAAGCTAGATTTTTTTTATTTTGTTAATTTCTACTGCTCTCCTGCTTACATGACTGACACCCAGATTGTCATGGCCGCACTTACCTGTAGGTCCCCCGCCGTGTCTCCGCCCGCAGCTTCAGCAGTCTCCTCTCGGTACACCCTGAGGACTCCAGCAAACCCACCGACGTTCCTGACCCACAGACAACCGCCATTCCTGAGTTACAGACTCAAGCCGCTACCTCTGTATCAAGAGCTTCACAAACTTCTCCTGCTGCTCATCTGGTACGCCTGCTGGAAGACCACGTTATTGCTTCAGAACTCCAGGTATCACTACCTGAATGCTTCACAGGAGATTGATCCAAGTATCATACCTTTATTATAGCTATTATTTGATTTAAAGCCCAGAACCTAATATTGCGATGCTGTTAAAATTTGCACTGTTATTACCCTTCTCTCTGGCCCCCCACAAGAATGGGCCCATGATGTCCTGTGTATTGATGATTCAAGTGTCCAAACTTGTACTGCTTTTGTTGAAGCTATGACAGCTATGTACGATGATCCCAAAACTACCTCCCGCTGAATTGCAAAGAAGAAAGAGAGAGAATTTATGTCTCTATTGTGGGCGCTCTAACTACGCAGTGAATGACTGCCCTCAGAAACTGAAGAATTCACGGGGTAAGAAATTTAACCCTGTTGCTATGTCCTCTACTCTGGTCACTACAACTCCTCCCTTATCTGTCTTTCTTTCCTTGCAGTGGAATGACAAGCACTGTGAATGTCAAGCATTGATTGATTCAGCGGCCAGTGGTTGTTTTCTGGACTCAACTTTTGCATGTTCCTTATCTATACCTGTACAGAATTAAGCCTCCTATTGCAAATACAGCTTGTAGGTGGGTCCTTTTTGCCTTCTGGTCCACTCACTAAACAGACCAAACCTATTCTAGTAAAAATAGGAAAACACACATGCCTCTGTCCTTCAATCTCGACCCCTCCCCTCTATTTCTTGTCATCCTGGGGATCCCCTGGCTACAGGCACATGATCCTAAGATTACATGGTCCACTGGATTCTTGACGTTCTCTTCACCACAATGCTCTCAACTCTGTCTGGTACATACAACAGTGAAAGGCTTTGTACACTCCATATTGGAGAACATGGAAAAGGGACAATAAGTCATCCTCCCTGATGCCTACCATATCGAGATGTATTTGATAAAAGGGGAGTAGAATATCTACCTCCCCATAGAAAATATGACTGTCCTTTTGATTTATTGCCAGGAGCCCCTATCCCTTTTGGTAGAATATACCCCCTATCTGAAAACTACTAATCCTTGAGGAGTATATACAATAAATCTGAAAAAAGGATTAATCAGACCTTCCACTTCCCCCGCTGGAGCCGGGATTTTCTTTGTTGGGAAAAAGGATGGAAGTCTGCGACCCTGAGTGGACTACAAGGATCTTAATCACATCACCATCCAGAATATGTACCCCTTACCACTTATTTCAGAACTTTTTGAACGTCTTCAAATGGCACGAATATACATTAAACACGACTTAAGGGGTGCTTCTAATTTGCTCCGAGTCCATGAGGGAGATGAGTGGAAAACAGCATTTACTTCCTGATATGGTCACTACAAATACCTGGTCATGCACTACGGGCTGTGTAATGCTCCTGCTTCCTTTCAGCATTTTCTCAATGACTTATTCTGTTATTTCCTTGACAAATTTATTTAGATGATATTTTAATTTTCTCTCCCGATGTGCATACTCATCGTCTCCATGTCACTGAAGTGTTGAAACGTCTAAGAAAAAACAATCTATATGCAAAAATGGAAAAATGCATATTTGAAATAGAGTGTGTAGAATTTTGGGGCTTTATCATTAAACCAGGCAGAGTGGAAATGGATCCTCGAAAAGTGACCACCATCCTTACATGGCCCATACCCAAAAACATGAAACAAATCCAATGATTTGTGAGATTTGATAAGTTTCATCGGAAATTAATCTGTAACTATTCTCAGTGTAATCCAACCCATCGTACCAAGAAAGAAACAAAATGGATCTGGACTTCAAAAGATCAGAAAGCATTTGACAATCTAAAAGTCCTTTTCACTACTGCACCTTCATTTACCTGATCCAGAAAAACCTTACTTTCTGGAAGTTGATGTGTCAGACTCATCAACGGGACAGTATTATCACAAGGAGACAGCTTAACCCGACAATATCACCCCATAGCCTTTTATTTTCATAAGTTATCAAGGCAGAATCCAATAACAATATAGGAGATAAAGAATTACTAGCTATTAAAACAGCACTCGAAGAATGGAGGCATCTATTGAAGAGCTAAATTCCCCATAACTATTTAAACTGATCATAAAAACTTGGAATATATCCGAACCAGTAAACATCTCAATCTCCATCAAGCAAGTTGGGCGCTGTTCTTTTCACATTTTTTGTTTTATATCACCTACTGTTCTGAATCAAAAATGTAAAGGCTGATACTCTCTCCAGAATTCACACGACAGTCAAAAATCAAAACAGAATGAAACCATCCTACAAAATCATCACTTTGTTGGCATCATGTCTCATATGTACAGGAAATCCAAAATATTCCAATCCAATAAACTCCTTACTTCATCTGAAGGCTATCCTTTATCACATGGGAAAATCTACGTACCGGAGAAAACACGTCTGAAAGTACTGTACCACTTTCATGACTATATTTTTGCTGGCCATGGGGGATAAAGAAAAACAATTCAAAGTATCCAACAACAATTCTGGTGGCCCTCTCTTCAACATGATGTCAAAAATTATGTTGGATCATGCACAACTTGTGCTCATGCTAAAGGTCTCACATCTAAAATAGCTGGCTTGATACAACCCTTACCAGTACCATCCAGACCCTGGAGCCATCTTACAGTTGACTTCATTGTAGAACTGCCACCATCACAAGGATATAAGACTACTATGGTTGTAGTTGATCGCCTGACAAAAATGGCAAACTTTTTTCCTGCTAAAGAACTCCATACTGCTAAAAATACTGTCTCTCTTTTCCTTGATAACATCTTCCGATTACATGGGGTACCCAAATCTATTCTTTCAAATAGAAGAACACAATTTACTTCCCATTTATGGAGAGCATTTTGTCAACCTTTCAAGATTTTAGTAGATCTTTCTACTGCCTTTCATTCCCAATCCAAAAGACAAACTGAAAGGACAAATCAAACTCAAGACAGATATCTCCGCTGCTATTGTACCCACTGACAATCTGATTGGAAAAATTTGCTTACTACAGCCGAGTTTGCTTACAATTCCAAACTGCATGATTACACCCACAGTTCCCCTTTCATGTTAAACTATGATTTCCATCCTAATACTCTCCCCAGGAGTCCTTCACTCACGCCAGTCGCAGATGTTGCTACTCACTTACAATAACTGACACAAGGTTTCCAACATGCTCAACAAATATTACAAGAAACCCAACAAACATAAACAAAATATGCTGATTTTAAAAGAACAACACCCATTGCTTAGAAGGAGTTTCATCATATGCCCCTGAGGAAGGTCAAGCCATTGAACGAAGTGCGTAGGGCCGTTTTGATAAGTGCAGAGTTTCATTTGTTTTTTTATTTGTTTTTAATTTGAATGCTGTTTTTTCAATTTTTTTCCATAACACAGATTTAAAATGCTTCAAATCAAAGAGGGATGAATTTATAATAAAATCAAAACCGGGGATGGGGGGTGGGAGGGAGAGGGGACCTGCAGCGCCAGGAAAACGGATTGTTTTCCTGGCACTGGAGTGTCCCTTTAAATAAAAACAATAATGAAAAGAAAAAGAAGAAACTATTCTGTGCACATTTATATTATCTTGTTCATTCCTGTATTACTATTTCTTGTTGTTTTTGAATTTCACTTAGTTTATCTATCTATCTATTGTTCTTTCATGCACTTCACATATATTCATGTACTTCTCAAGTTATGAGGGTTTTTTTTGCTTTGCTTTAATATTCCACTTCCTGAAGGATCATTTGTGACACTAGGCTTTGCTTTGTGATTCCGCCTCAGGATTAAACATAGGTGCCCAAGGCAATAGAAGTCATACAAGTGCATTGTGACTTCTGTTCTCCTTTACACCAAATAGACTATGTGACTTGAGGACCTGTCTTGGAATGACTTTATTAGAAATAGGAAATAAAATGTTATCAGTGATATTATAATGTTTGACTATTTAAATGTTGCAGTCATTTATTTAAATAAATAATAAAGTTTGGTTCATAATGAATAGCAAGCAAAAACTGGAAATTAGATTTTTCAAGAAATTGGTTTTCTGTAAATTGATTAAACTGTACAACTAAGCTATTATCAGTTATAATAATAATATTATTCAAAATTCAATTTAGAATAATAATAATTTAGCATAAACTTAAAAAAGAAATGTAAAACCAATATAACATAAAGGACTATATTTATCGAGGAAGCACTGGAGTTTCAGTTCTAGGACAAAGCAATTATTTTTCAGGCAATGATTGATATTTACTGATAATTATTATATTACGTATATTGACATTGATATTGATATGAATTGCTTGCCCTTTCGGCTACATTAAATGAATCAAAAGCCTGGTAATAGATTGCCAAATTAATTGATTTGTTAGGGACTCCATAATGAATAGATTCATTTAATTTGT